CTCTGCTCACGGCACCCTGCAGGCCCGTGTGTACCGACCCCCGCCTGCTTCAGGGGTGGGAGCAGAGCCCCCGGGAGCAGGCAGCGCGGTGAACCCGGTCCTGGTGTGCTCTTAGCGGGAGCAGCGCGGCCCCGTCCCTCCCGCACGGCTCCGGCCGTTATCCCCGCGGCTCCTGAGCCCCGCTGCTGCTGAAGCGCTTCCCCTGCCGCCGCTCGCTTCCCGGTCTGGAGCTGGGGCTCCGGGCACGCCGCGGCCCTGCGGTGCGGAGCTGCTCTGCTCCCGGGAGAGGGCGCCGGGATCAGCCTGGTCCCGGGCTGCGGATGGGCGCCAAGGGCATGGTCCCCCCCCCGTGACCCCACCACAGCCTCGCCACGGCTCGTTCCCGAGCTGGCAGCAGCACCAGGGCACAGATCCCAGGCTGGGAGCCTGCCCAGTGACCCGGTGTGTGAATGCATCCTGCACAGTGACCGGTGTGTGAATGCATCCTGCACAGTGACCGGTGTGTGAATGCATCCTGCACAGTGACCGGTGTGTGAATCCATCCTGCACAGTGACCTGTGTGTGAATGCATCCTGCACAGTGACCGGTGTGTGAATGCATCCTGCACAGTGACCGGTGTGTGAATCCATCCTGCACAGTGACCTGCGTGTGAATCCATCCTGCCCAGTGACCGGTGTGTGAATGCATCCTGCACAGTGACCGGTGTGTGAATGCATCCTGCACAGTGACCGGTGTGTGAATCCATCCTGCACAGTGACCGGTGTGTGAATGCATCCTGCACAGTGACCGGTGTGTGAATGCATCCTGCACAGTGACCGGTGTGTGTGAATGCATCCTGCACAGTGACCGGTGTGTGAATCCATCCTGCACAGTGACCGGTGTGTGAATGCATCCTGCACAGTGACCGGTGTGTGAATGCATCCTGCACAGTGACCTGTGTGTGAATGCATCCTGCACAGTGACCTGTGTGTGAATCCATCCTGCACAGTGACCGGTGTGTGAATGCATCCTGCACAGTGACCGGTGTGTGTGAATGCATCCTGCACAGTGACCTGTGTGTGTGACTGCATCCTGCACAGTGACCTGTGTGTGTGACTGCATCCTGCACAGTGACCTGTGTGTGAATGCATCCTGCACAGTGACCTGTGTGTGAATGCATCCTGCACAGTGACCGGTGTGTGTGAATGCATCCTGCACAGTGACCGGTGTGTGTGAATGCATCCTGCACAGTGACCTGTGTGTGTGAATGCATCCTGCACAGTGACCGGTGTGTGTGAATGCATCCTGCACAGTGACCGGTGTGTGTGCATCCTGCACAGTGACCGGTGTGTGTGAATGCATCCTGCACAGTGACCTGTGTGTGTGAATGCATCCTGCACAGTGACCTGTGTGTGTGAATGCATCCTGCACAGTGACCGGTGTGTGTGAATGCATCCTGCACAGTGACCGGTGTGTGTGAATGCATCCTGCACAGTGACCGGTGTGTGTGAATGCATCCTGCACAGTGACCTGTGTGTGTGAATGCATCCTGCACAGTGACCTGTGTGTGTGAATGCATCCTGCACAGTGACCTGTGTGTGAATCCATCCTGCACAGTGACCTGTGTGTGTGAATCCATCCTGCACAGTGACCGGTGTGTGACTGCATCCTGTACAGTGACCTGTGTGTGACTGCATCCTGCACAGTGACCTGTGTGTGAATCCATCCTGCACAGTGACCTGTGTGTGTGAATCCATCCTGCACAGTGACCGGTGTGTGACTGCATCCTGTACAGTGACCTGTGTGTGAGTGCATCCTGTACAGTGACCTGTGTGTGACTGCATCCTGCACAGTGACCGGTGTGTGTGACTGCATCCTGCACAGTGACCGGTGTGTGTGAATGCATCCTGCACAGTGACCTGCGTGTGAATCCATCCTGCACAGTGACCTGTGTGTGAATGCATCCTGCAAAGTGACCTGCGTGTGAATCCATCCTGCAGTGACCTGTGTGTGTGAATGCATCCTGCCCAGTGACCCGATCTGTGACTGCATCCTGCACAGTGACCTGTGTGTGAATGCATCCTGCACAGTGACCCGATCTGTGAATGCATCCTGCACAGTGACCGGTGTGTGAATGCATCCTGCACAGTGACCTGTGTGTGAATGCATCCTGCACAGTGACCCGGTGTGTGAATCCATCCTGCACAGTGACCTGTGTGTGAATCCATCCTGCCCAGTGACCCGGTGTGTGAATCCATCCTGCCCAGTGACCCGGTGTGTGAATCCATCCTGCACAGTGACCCGGTGTGTGAATCCATCCTGCCCAGTGACCCGGTGTGTGAATCCATCCTGCCCAGTGACCAGTGTGTGAATCCATCTGGTCCTGGAGCTTGTGGCTGCATGGTAGGAGCCGGAAGCATCAATCTTGGAGGAGCCCTAGGGCTACCCTCCCTCCCAGTGGGAGCCTTGCAGTGTCAGTGCAGGTTCACTCCCCCAGATGCCTCTGAGGAGCCATGGCAGGGAGCAGTTGTTATCCCACAGGATCCATGGGGCTTGGCTTCTCCCTGGGGCCCTCCCCATGAGATCATTGCACAGGGAGCCTTGCTCTCAGGCAGGCCTGGCTGTGGGGGCTGCGCTGTGCTGCTGTTCCCCCCACCTCGGTGCTGGATGTGAGAGCTGGTGCCCCCGCAGCGGTGGCCTTGGTGCTCCCGGCTGCTGCTCCCTGCACCGGGAGCTGTCTGGGCCCTGCCGTTCTCACCACTCCTACGAATTCCACAGCCTGCCTGTGAACCCCTGCAGGCCCAGAGCCAGGCTGCTGATGGGCGCCTCTGCCTGGAGCTCGGGCTCCCCACTGCTGATCCTGCCCTCAGCAGGAGCCGTGAGGACCAGAGCCTCTCATTCTCGGGAGGTGATAAACCCTGCTTGGGAAGTGCTCCCTCTCTGTGCTGGGCTCATGCCACCGCATTCCTGTGCAGGCAAACACCCTCTAACAGCTTCCAACCAAGGCCTGTGGAAAGTGGGCAGTGCCAGGGAAGAAGACTTTGGGATGAGGGCAGTGATTGAGGGCGCTGTGACAACTGCAAGCGTGTGCATCGGGTGTGAGGCCAAAGCAGCCCCACAGCAGGACACAGTGGCCCAGAATCCCTCTTTGTCCCTAAAGCAGACAGCCCATGTGGGCACAGCAGCAAACACCCAGCCCCATGAGTTTCCCCACCCTGGTTCTGCCTCCACTGTGCTCCAGAGCTGTTCATAACCCTTTCTATCAGCCTGCTGGCGCAGTCCTGGCTGTCACATCCCTCCGGCTTTTCCACTCCATCCATGTGGTGACTCAAACCTTTGGAAGCTGGCAGCTTCATCAAGGGAAGGAGTGGATTTGGGCAGGCAGGGAGGAGAAAGGGACCAAACGCACATGAAACAGGATGCTGAAGCAGAGGGTGCTGTGATGCTACCAACATCTGGGTGCTATGGTGCTACCAACATCTGGGTGCTGTGGTGCTACCAACATCTGGGTGCTGTGGTGCTACCAACATCTGGGTGCTGTGGTGCTACCAACATCTGGATGCTGTGGCTGAGCTCGAGCAGCTCTGAGGAGCAGGGATGGGAAGTGCCATGGTTGGTTGTTACTAAGAATACAGCTGTCACTGATGGGATTACCAATAAAGACAAAGCCCAGGGAGGATCATGGCTCCACTTCCTTCCTCCCCCCCCAGGGGTTTAATCCCATTTTTGTTCCTGGTTTGGTTTCAGCCACTCAATAAAAAACTCTGCTCCAGGAGGGAACTCCAAAGCTTTTTCCCTGGAGGAAGCTCCAGGGGCAGATTCCCACATCTGCTCCCATTCAGGGTAGCAGGGGGAGAGCTCCGTGATGGTTTTACCCTGGCAGGAATAGCTTAGGCTGCCTAATTCCAGCCTGCTTTGTCCAAGGCTGGCTAATCCAGCACCGGTGGCAAGGGGCAGGAAATCCTCAGTGGCAGAGTCTGGAAGGACCTGAACCCCCTTGGCCAGGCTCCGGGGGATGGCTCTGGGGTACAGCCTGGCTCTGGGGACACCCTGGCAGTGAGGTGCTTGAGGGGACCCCAGATGCTCTCAGCACCCACTTTCTTGGTGGGTACCACCAATACTGCCTGCAGCTCCTGGGGATGGAGGAAGGATGTGATGGAGCATGGGGTGGATGTAAATGCTCCCGAAGTGCTGCAAGGGGGGCACTGGACACCCCAGTGTGCATAGGGCTCCCTGCAGTTGTGCTGAGCTTGCTAGGCTGTGGGTGCATCTCAGGATGCAGAGCTGAGGAAACAGAGACAATTCTAAGGCAGAGAGTTCCCAAGTATTTAAAGAGTGGCTACAAAGAAGATGGAGACTCCCTTTTAGCAAGGAGTCCCATGGAAAAGCGGAGGGGTGATGGGGACAAGTTACTCCTGGGGAGATTCCACTGGGTGTAAGGGGGAAGGTTTTCACACTGAGAACAAGCAGCCACTGGAATAATCTCCCCAGGGAAGCAGTGGGCTCCCCAGCACTTGGGCACACTTAGGGTTCGACTGGGCAGGGTGCTGGGCCATCGACTCTGGGTCATGTTGGCAGAGAGGAGACTGAGCTGAGCTCTTAGGCAGAAGCTCTTCCCTGTGAGGGTGCTGAGGTGCTGGCACAGGGTGCCCAGAGAAGCTGTGGCTGCCCCATCCCTGGCAGTGCTCAAGGCCAGGTTGGACACAGGGGCTTGGAGCAAGCTGCTCCAGTGGAAGGGGTCCCTGCCCATGGCAGGGGTTGGAGCTGGAGGAGCTTTAAGGTCCCTTCAACCCAAACCATTTCGATGATTCCGTGCTTCACCAGGAAAGGTTGGACCCTGCTATCCTTCAGGTCCCTCCCAGTCTGGGACCCTGTGATGACCCCATGACTGTGCAGAACCGTCTGGAGGTGCCGTGTTGGAGACAGGACAATGCCAATGGAGGAGTCTCCTGCCCCAGGCCCGACCCTTGCCCACCGCAGCGCCGGGCTGCTCGCATCACAGCCTCCGGAGCGGGGGCATCGCTCTGGCTGCCGGCTCGGTGCGGGGGGGCCGGGCTGTGGGCAGGGCCCGGGCAGATGACGCCGGGTGAAGCCGGCTCGGAGCCTGCCCAGCCCCGCCGCAGCCCCAGCGCGGTGGCCGCGCAGTCGGGTCGGGTCGGGTCGGGCGGGCTCCGGCAGCAGGGCGGGATGGACGTGGCCGTGGACTTGTACCTGGCTGTCCCGCTGCTCTTCACCGTCCTGGCCCTCGTCCTCGCCTCCGTCTTCGTGAGGCTGCGGGGAGCCGAGGGGGAGCGGCCCCGGGAGCCGCCGGCGGCAGAACCGGCCCGGGAGAGCGGCCCCGGGGAGCAAGCGGCGGCGGGAGCGGGGCCGGAGGCCGGCAGGGAGCGGCTGCCGGTGGAGGAGGTCGGGGCGGTGGAGGAGCGGAAGGAGGCGGCTGCCGAGCAGCGGGAGGAGGCGGCGGAGGAGCCGGGCCCCGCGGCCGAGCCCAGCCCCGCGGCGGCCGAGAGCATCCCCCGGGAGCCGCTCACCGAGCCCCGGGAGCCCGAGCCCCGCGAGGATGCGCAGAGCAAGGTAAGGCCGGGTCCCTGCGGAGCCGCCCGCAGCCCGTGCCGAGGCCGGGTCCGTGTCCCCCCCCCCGTCCATCAGTGCCCGTTCCCGGGGGGAGCGCAGAGCCCGGGGGCTTCTCTAAAGCCGGGTTTGGCCCCCGGTGGAACAAGCCCGTTGTCCCGAGGGCGGCAGCGGGGGCAAGGGGGGGGGGGGGGGGTGTTTCGGGCTCGTTTCCACCGCCGCCTCCCAAGGAATGCTCTTGAAACCGATCGAGATAGCGAGGGTTTCGGGGGAGGGAAGCCTGTGTCAGTGCGCGCCTCTCCCGGCTGCGCATCCAGCCCTTGGGAGCCTTTCCCTTCTCCCCGCAGCTAATCCAGGTGCTGGGGATGTGTGCGTGTTTGCTCTGCCCGTCCGCAGCCCCTTTCAGTGCTCGCAGCAAGCTGTTCCCTTGCCAGCACCGGAGGCTGAACCCGGTCCCTGCCTGGCTGGTCCCCGCCGTCCCCCTCCCTCCCAGCCCCAGCGGGATGCTGACCCCGAGGTCTGACCCCCGCTGAGCTGGGGGGGCCGGAGGGGCAGCGGTGCCCATAAACACCCGTAAATCCTCCTCCCGATCCGGATCCTCTTTACAAATCAAAGGGCGACCCTGGGAAGAGCTTGCTCTGCCCTTGCCCTGCTCCGTGGGACTCGGGGGCAACCCGAGGATCCCCAGCTCCTTGCGTTGGTGCCCTGCTCCCGGCACCAATGCCCCGATGTGAGGAAGCGAGCCATGGGGCGGCTCAGGAACGCGGGAGCGGTGGATGCGTGGCCTGGCCGTGTGCTGGGCTGGGGCCCTGCTGGCTATTCTTAGCAGCACTTGTAATCCACAGCAGCTGCCTGCAGCAGCCCTCGCCTCGGGCAGCATCCCCACTGACTCACCCACAGCCTTGGGCAGGTCCCAGGGGCTGCGCACCCGGCTCCCTGTGCTCCCGGTCACCTCCCCTTGTCATTTCTGAGCCGCCGGGCTCCCACTCTCCCCTTCCTGCACCCCTTGGCCATGGATCCAGGCCCCTTCCCTGTCCCAGTGTCCTGGAAGCCACATCTGCCCCTCTGCCTGGTGATTTACTGGTGCCAGCTGAGCACCCAATCCGGCCACCCCACTGGGGCTGCTGCAGGGCCTGGGGTTCTCTGATGGAGCACAGCACCACAGTGGGGCAGATGGCCCAACCCAGCGCTCACCAGTTCCTCTGCTCTCTCGCAGCGTGAGCCTTGGGAATGTTTTCCTCCCCTCTGTCTGCTCTTTAGCCCTGATTGCTTCGAGCAGGCACTTGCTGCCTTCAGAAATGGGCTCAGCTCCTTTACCTCTCCCCTCTCAGGCACACGCGTGTAACACGGCTTTGCACAGCCAGGGGTGAGCCCTTACCCAAGGCACAGGGGGTTGTGTGTCCTCCAGGAGCCTGCCTGGGCTCCATGGCATGGGGGGGTCTCTGCTGCACTCCCCTCAGCCCCTCTTACAGCAGAGCAAAGGGGGCAGTGGAGCCGAGGAGGGTCCTGGCCTGGGATCTGTGACCTTGCTGTAGCAGGATGAGTCACCCTGGACCTGAGCAGCATCTCTTTGGGCAGGGGCCAGGCGATGGCTGGGAGCTGGGGGGTGATGGAGAGAGCGGGAAGGGGGAGGGATGCTTCCCGCTGCTGAGTAAGTGTTTGGGAGCGCTGGTCCCTCGTGATGCAGCAGCTGCCAGGATGCTTGGCACGGGCAGGGGCTGTCGGGGCAGGGTGTACGTGGTGTCCAGCAGGCAGCACTGCCAGTGCTGAGCCGGGGCAGGTCCCATGGGCAGAGCGGGGGAGCCCATGCACAGCTCCCTGGGGTTTGCTCCCTGCAAACATCCTCCAAGGCGCTTCCTCCTCCTCCTCCTGCAGCGCTGCTCAGGCCAGAGCCCATGGGACCGGCCTTGGGCAGAGCTGTGCAGGCAGCTGCCCATGGGGACGTGTCCTGTGGAACCTGCCTTGGCTGGGCTGCGGGCTGCGGTCCCTGATGTGACTCAGCAGAGAGGCTCCTGCAGGCTCCGGGCTGGGGACATCAGCACATTCACAGAGCTTTCTGTCCCTTTCATCGCCTCCTGTTTGCTCAGCACAGACTGCACCAGCCTGCTCTGGAGTCACTGCAGGCAGTAACCACTCAGCCAAATGCTGATGGATGAACCTGCTCAGGGAGAGCAGCCTGGCTGTGTTTAATGGCTGGAGCTGCCCACCCCACGGCCTCCTCCCTTCCCTTCTCCCTGCCTGGCCAAACCAGCATCTGCTGGGGCTGTTTCAGCCTCCCTCCTGCTCCCACCTCCTGCAAGGGCAGCCTGAGATGAGAACCCAGCAGGTCAAGTGTGTGGGTCAGGCCTTCCCTGCCCCTCCGCATCATCATGCCCATGGCTGTCCAATGAAGCAGTGGCAGAGCAGGGGGAGAAGCCCGGTGTCCTTGTTCCCATGAGCTGCTGGTAGCGGTTCCCCTTGTGTCTGCTGGCTCCCATCACTGGGAAGAAAGTTAATTAACGTGTCACTGTCTGTTCGCATCCCCGTTCCCAGCTTGGGAATGGTGGCGGCAGCGCTGCCGAAGCGATCCCTAATGAGGAGCTGTGGGGTGGGAACTGCAGCGTTGCTGGAGCTGCTCGGGCTGGTTCTGGTAGGAAACGGTCAGAAAGCCTCCGTGCTGGAGCGAGGAGCTCTGAGCTGGGAATGGGAGATGGCAGGGACAGGGTTTGCCATGGTGCCGTCCTGCATCTCCTCCCCTGGGATGCCACAGGGAGGGCGAGCGGGCAGCCTGGCTGCTTTGCCAAGGGTTAACTGCAGATGGTGGCTTCAAACAGAGACAGGTCCAGGGGGTGACAGTGGGGCTGGGCAGCAAAGGCACCAAGGGGATGTCCTTGCATCTTCTGCAGAGCTCCTGCTGCCTGTGTCCCCCACCCCATCTGGGCCTTCCTGGGGGCTCCTGGTGCCCCTGGACACCCCAGGCAGCAGAAGCACCCCACAGGGACCCTCTGCATTGAAGAGGTCAGCATCTCCCCATGTGATGCTTCCCACCCGCCTTCCCCATGCCCGCAGGGAGAGGGTGTCTGATCAGCCTGGCTTCAATTGGCAGCTGTGCCTCTGCCTCTGCCATGCCACAGGGCTGGGGCAGCAGCTCTGCAGTGGTGGGGAGGGATGCAGTGATGTGCCCCCTCCATCACAGCCTTGGCAGCACCACAGACCCCTGCCAGCGGGATGTGGGGCTCTCCACAGGACCCGTAAGTGCCCAGATGCGCCCCAGCTCTCACCCAGTGCAGTCTGTGCTGGTAACGAATGCATCATCTCTCGTAGCAGCTGCAGGATGTGTCCTCCCCTGCAGCCCAGGCATGGGGCTGGTGCTGGGATGGTTGCACTGGGGCTTTATGTTGTGGCCCTACAGTGGGTCCAGGAGGCCCTGCTCCTACCCGGTCCCTTCTGGGCTGGGTACAGCCCCGGGAGCCTGTGATGTGCTGCTGGAGCAGAGCCCATGAGGACTCTGCCTCCTTGCTCTCTTCGGCCTCAACCTGCGCCAGGGGAGGTTTAGATGGAGATGAGGATCAGTTCCTTTCCCAAAGGGTGCCAGGCATTGGAACAGGCTGCCCATGAGATGCTTTCCTCAGGTGCCCACCATCAGGATGTATTCATCTTTTAAAGGCTTCTTCCTTCCCTTTCTCCTCCTGGCGTTCCCCTTGCTGGCTGCCTGGCTCCTGGCTGCTTGCTTTCCCTCTTGCAATGTCTTGCATCAGGCTTGGAGCAGAAAGAGCAGCCATAAATGGCAACACACGGGGCCCAGGAGTTTAATCCAAGATACTTTTCTCCCCTTGCTTTTGCAGCCTGGGATATTCCCTTTTCCTGGAGCTCAAGCAGGACACTGCTCTGTCTCCATCCTGGCCATAAGTGCCAGGGGTGTCCCTGCGACTAAGAAAGGGGAGAGGGACACATCCGCCCCATGGCCTCCTTGTGCCCTTTCGCAGGAGGGAAACCCATTGCTCAGAGGGGTTTGTGATGGGGGGGAGGAAGTGGGGAGGAAGCAGCCAGAAACGAGCTAAAACCCAGCTGGTGCCGTGATGTGTGGGGCTGGGAGCGGGCGGGCGAGGTGACCACGAGGGGGATGCTGGGGATGCGATGCCAAGGCTGATTCCCTTGGGAGACTCGGGGCTGCTGTGCCCGGAATGTCCCTGGAGGTGTTGCCCTTTGCTTTGCTCCAGTGCTGGGGCCGGGAGCCCAGTACAGCTCGTTTGATGCATTACTGGTAAAGGGGAATGCTTGCTCTATGGGAGCCCTGCGGAGCTGGGAGCTGCCCTTTCCCTGAGCCCCTGCAGGCTCTGTCTGATTCCCACACAGCTGGGAACAGGCTGCCCAGGGCAGGGCTGCAGGCACCGGCCCTGCAAGGCCTCAGTGCCATGGGTCAGTGGTGGCCATGCGGCAGCTGCCCTGGCTCTGGTCCTCGTTCCCCTCACTCCCCACCACTCAAGTGTCCCTGCACTGCCCTGGGCTGTGTTTCTTGCAGAGGAGCAGTGCCTGGGGTACCCTCTTGGGCTCACACCTCCCAGCGCTGCCCCAACACCTCCCTCCCATGGTTTGCCTGCCCTCCTCTCACAGAGCATCCCATGGCAGCCCCCAGCTCAGCTGCTCCTGCCCCACCGCAGTGCCCACCATAGGGAGCACCGGCCATAGGGATGCCAGTTTTCCAAGCCAGCCCAGATGTGCTCCCAGTGCAGGGGCACCACATCCCTGCTCCCTGCCCGCACCTATCCCCCTCCAGACAGCAGGGAAAGGTTCAGCTGGGAAGTGCTGGCAGAGGGCACGGGGAGGAAGGATTTGAGCTGATGTGGGGCTGAGGGCAGGGAAACTCCAGCTGTGGGGTACAAGGGGGTTTTGGGGGGTTATTGGCCTGCAGCTCGGGCAGAGCAGGCCCTGCAGGCATTAACAGAGCACACACTGCACTGTTCCTCTGCTCTCCCCTCCTGCTAGCTCTGAGCTGTGCCCATCACCAGTGGCTCCTGGTCCCGCAGGCAATGGGCAGCTCAGGAGCTCCAAACCCTGGCTCCAGGGCAGGGCAGTGGAGGGCTCTGGTGTCCCTCACTCCATGCAGCACCATGGCTTGGCCCATGGACCAGAGGCAGGATGATGGGCTCAGGCACCGCGGCAGGGCCACATCCAGGGTTTCTTCCTGCGCGCTGATGCTGGCGGGGAGGGCTCGGGGTGTTTGTGCTCAAAGCCTCTCTCTCTTTCCAGGTACCACCTTTGGGAGGCTCAGCTGGGTCCAGCCCCGAGCAGCCGGGACAAGCGGAGGGTGCAGGAGAGCACACAGCACTTCCCAGCAAGGCAGAGGTGTGTGGGACAGGGGTGGCGTGGGGACGGTGGCACAAGCTGCATGGGGGGGACATTGTCCCAGCGTGGCAGTGGCCATGGCAGGGGTGGGGGAGCAGAATTTGCCTCTTCTGCTGCGCCGAGGGTGGGTTTTAATGGCTCAGTCCATTTAGAACAGAAACAGAGCCCCAGGTGAAAATGGGGATGTGCAGGGAGTGATGTGTGGCTCCTGGGGGAAGGAAACCCACATTTCCCACTGGCTTCCACTGTTAAACACTCAGAAATGCTCAGGTCCTAATGCCCAGGCAGGGAACAGCCTAAAATATCCCTTCCTGTGCCAGCTCCTGGAGGGCCGGGTCTCCCACGGGACATCCTGCTCACAGGGAGAGACGGATCCAATGGGGAGCTCTTGGCCACGTCCCCAGGGCCAGGGCTGAGCATCCTCTCCTGCTCCCTCCCTGAGGCCTCTCCTTCGGGTGCTTCCCAGCTCCCAGCCCTCTCAGGGGAGAGCCTGGGTGTCCGGTGGGAAGTGCCCATGTTTGGAAGCGTGGCTGCAGGAGGTGGGGGTCCTGGGGAGCCCCACAGGGGGCTGCTGAGGAGCAGCCAAATGCCTGTGAATAACGCGCATTCCTCACTGATGACAAACGCACCCAGAGCAGGGCCGGGCTCCATTGGTGCCTCTAAAGCCCTGCCCTGCAAAGCTCAGCTCTCTGCTTGGAGCATCTTCATTTCCCTCAGGGATCATCTTCATTGGCAGTGTGGTGGCTCCCTGCTCCTTCCCTTCTCTCCCACGTGCTTTGCCCTTTGCACACCAACCCCATTACTTTGAATGGGATGCCCGGAGCAAGAGTGGATGCAGGATGGATCCTCCTGGGTGCTGTTTGCCTCCAGGCTTGGCTCAGAGGGTGCTTTGCAGGAGGAAAGCACATACACGGGGGCATTGCCGTGTATCCTTGTCTTATCTCCAGAGCTGGGGCTCTCCTTGCCCTCCCTGCCTGCAGCCTGCATGGCTTTGTGCTGGTTGTGGGGCAGCCCACGAGGGTGCTGGGGCACGAGGCTGTGCCTGGGGCCGCCAGGAGAGCAGGTTCTAGTGGGAGGAAAGCAGCCCCATGAACCTCTCTCATTAGCGAGCATCCTCTTGGCCTGCTCCATGGAGGAGGCAGGGAAGTGGTACCCAGCCCTCAGCACAGGCTCTACCTCCCTGCTCTGCCCAAGCAGGGGGCATTTAGCACAGCACCTTCTCCTCATCGCCTCCTCCGGTTTTAACTCCTCCAGGGGGAAGATCTGGACAAGGAAAAAGAGAAGCTGGTGGTGAGAGAGCCCGAGGATGAGGATGGTGAGTGCCAAGCAAGCCAGCACCGTGCAGGGTGGGCTGAGGGGCTGCAGCCCCACGTGCTTGGGGACGGTCTCCTTTGTGATGAAGCTGCCCCAGAAGCTCTTTGCTCACATGCAGGAGGCTCTCCAGGGGCTTTAGTCAGAGCCCTGTTTAACTGATGAGCCAATTAGTTGATTGGAAAATGATTAATTGAGTAATTGTAGTGACAACTGGTGTGCTGTGGGAGGATGCAGCAGATGGTGCCAGGCAGGAGCGTGGCTGGAGGGGACGTTGCTCTCCTGAGTGGAGATGCTGGGATGTGCCCAGGAACAACCTTTGGGGTGTCTGTGGCAGCTGTGGAGCTTGGGGTGTTCCCCCTTCCCTGCCCCACTTCCCATTTGTGGGCAATCCCCTGGCTCGGGAGGATTATCCCTAATGCCGCAGAGAACCAAGTCTGAATCCTGGGGCTGTGTCCACAAGGTGGGGAAGCACCTTTGGAGATGGGGTTCCTAAAAGACTCTTATTCCACCCCCTTAGGCACTGGTAATCAGGCCTGTTCCCATGCAGGACTTGGTTTGAGGAGTGACGGACGTATCCTGCCAAAGGGATGCTCAGTAGCGCTGCTCTGCCTCCTTCAGTTCAGCTGTTTCAGGGCTGCTCCAGCACTGCTGTGCATCATCCCAAAGTGGCTGTGGCTTGGGATTGGAAAGAGGTGACAGTCCCCATCCATGGGTCCAGGCTAAGTCCAGCATCCTCCCCCAGCATCTCCTGCAGACAGCCATGGACTCCTCTCCTGACTTACTTACACCATTTCTGAAGGGTTTCATAGCGGCACTGGGTAGAGAGATGGCTCAGCCTGAGGAGGAGGCAGGTGGGGGGAATAACAGCAGCGCCATGGCTTTGGTAGGGAGCAACCTCACTCCTTCCTTCTGCCTCTCCTGTGCCTCGTGGTCCTGGCCCAACTCAAGCTGCTGCACAGTCGAGATCCTCCTTGGGCTCATGGGGACCACGCAGGCAGCCCATCACAGTATCACAGTATGTTAGAGATTGGAAGGGACCTCAAAAGATCATCCAGTCCAATCCCCCTGCCGGAGCAGGAACACCTAGATAAGGTTACACAGGAACGTGTCCAGGCGGGTCTTGAATGTCTCCAGAGAAGGAGACTCCACAACCTCCCTGGGCAGCCTGTTCCAGTGTTCCGTCACCCTCACTGAGAAGAAGTTTCTTCTCAAGTTTAAGTGGAACCTCTTGTGTTCCAGTTTGTACCCATTGCCCCTTGTCCTATCATTGTTTGCCACTGAGAAGAGCCTGGCTCCATCCTCGTGACTCTCCCCCTTTATATATTTATATACACTAATAAGGTCACCCCTCAATCTCCTCTTCTCCAAACTATAGAGACCCAGCTCCCTCAGTCTGTCCTCATAAGGGAGATGCTCCACTCCCTTAATCATCTTAGTTGCCCTAGTCACCAGGCCAGGATGCTGCTCTGGTGGCCCCATGTCCCCACTGTGGGTACCAAGGCTGGCAGGGAGCAGGATGAGAGGAAAGGGGCTGCTTCCACCTGCTCAGGCAGAGGGATGAAACACAAGTGGTGTTAGCGTGAGCCCGCAGAGGCTCCAAGCAGGTCACTTGTTTCTGCTGTGGTTTTGCTCTTGACGTAAAGACCCAGCCTCCCCTCTCTGTGTGTTTCCTGAAGCTGGATTTCAGCCTGCACAGAAAGTTCCTGAGCTCAGAAAACAACCAGGGGTTCCCAAACCCACACACGGGCTCCTTTAACCACAGCGCATGGGCAGGGATGTGGGCGGCTTCCTCACCTCCCTCTTCCCTTACCCTCTCCTGGTGGGGTGGCAGCGAAAGTGCCAGGCAAAAGCCCCCATCTCAATTCACTTGGCACAAAAGCACGGGAGGGAAATGATGTGAATTGTCCTTGAAATCAGGCGAGCTATGCAAAGGTAATGGAACGGGTAAGAAACAGGATGTTCCACCCTCACCGCCTTCTCTTCCTCTTAATACCTCCAAAGCAGCAGCCAGCTGGAATTTTCTTTCCATGCGCTTTCCTGGCCACCTGAAGGGCTGATAAGCTGCAGCATTACTCCTTGTTTCCAGCCAGCCACACTTGTTTGTCTGCCTGTTGGGAATGTTTTCCCACCGAGGGAAGTGGGATATGGCCGAGCTGAGTGTTTGGGGCTGCAGGACCAGAGCATTTGTGTGCTTGTGTTGGGACACGTGGGAAGATGCTAGGGAAAGGGTTTGTCTTTGTTCCCCAGGGGTGGGATGTGGGGATTAGTGACACACTCTGGATCAGTGAGCAGTGATCCAGACAGGATTCACAGGGAAGCCCCTGAACATCAGGGACATGGAGATGTAGAGAAGGGAGGGAATGTGCTTGTCTGCAGGGAGGAGGCTCTGTTCAGTCCCCAGGCACACCCCATGCAGCAGCAGCACTGACCTTACTGCACCATCCCCAGCCTGTGGCCTTGCACAGCTCGTTCTTGAGATCTCAGCCTTCCCCAGCTGGGAAACGAGGCTCTTGCGTGGGGGTCCCCAAGGTCTAAATGGAGCTCCTGACCTCGGACACAGGGAGAGAATCCTTAAAGGGCTGGAAGTGGATGAGCTCTAAGGTCCCTGCAGACCCAAACCAGTCTAGGGTTTTATATGATTCTGTGGAATTGGAGGGAAGCTGCTGATGCTCAACACTTGTGAGTGTGAGGAAGGGGGGAGAGGGGCCGTGGGGTGGTTTTCCTTTGGGCAGGAGGAAGAGGAGAGGCTTTCATCAACGTGGTCCCCACAACAGCAGCGGGAACTGTCGTTTCCCCCGGTTGGTTTCTCTTTCCCTATGAGTGGAGCCTCGCTGCAGCTGCCCGTGCTCAACACCCACCTGATCACGCTCCTTTCTCAGGAGTTTCCCCTCTATTGGGGTCCTGTTGGTGCTGTGTGGGGTCACCCTGGACAGTTGGGTTGTGGAGAACACGCAGCTCTTCAGGGCCATGCAGACAACACAACAACAGCTTCCTTCCACGGAGCCCTTAGGAGTACCCCAGGGCTCTGAGGGTCGGTGGAAGCAGCTGATGTCTCTGGGTGCATGTGGAAGCAGCAGTGCTGGATGGCTTCACGTGAGCCCTCCAGTCCTTGGGAGATAAAGGCTCACGGATAACCAGTAAAGGCAGCTACCCGAAGCAGCTTTGGATTGACCTCCACTCCTCTTGTTTTCTCCCATCTGCAGGGAGATAAAGCAGGGGAGAGGTATTTAAAAGCAAACAGTGCTCCAACAAAATCCGATTGGAAAAGGATCGGCTTTGGCTCAGAGTCCGTGAGCTTTGGTGCTGTAATTAGCACAGGGCTGAGGCTGGAGAGCAGGGCAGGAGAGCACCCAGGCCTGGAGAAGGAGACCTTGGTTTGCTCTCCAGGTCTGTTGGCTGGTGATGGAGGGACTTGAACCCTGTGTTCAGCTCTGGGCCCCTCACTGCAAGAGAGACATTGAGGGGCTGGAGCGGGGCCAGAGAAGGGAATGGAGCTGGTGCAGGGCCTGGAGCACAGGGGTGATGGGGAAGGGCTGAGGGACCTGGGGGGTTCAGTGTGGAGAAGAGAAGGCTCAGGGGGGACCTGATGGCTGCCTCCAACTGCCTGACAGGAGGATGGAGCCAGGAGGGGCTGGGCTCTGCTCCCAAGGAACAAGGGATGGGACAAGAGGAACCGGCCTCAAGCTGCACCAGGGCAGGTTTAGATGGAGCTGAGGAACAATTCCTGCCCCAGAGGGTGCTCAGGCATTGGAACAGGCTGCCCAGGGCAGGGCTGCAGGCACCGTCCCTGCAAGTGTTCACCCTCAGTGCCATGGGTTAGGGGTGGCCTGGGCAGGGCTGGAGTAGGGGTTGGACCTGATGAGTTTAAAGCGCTTTTCCAACCTGGTTGATGCCACGACTTGGACCCAGCTGTGGTGATGCTCCTGGGGCTGCCTTGGCTCAGCTCTGCAGCCCCCCAGTTTACAGTGTGGCACCTCCTTTCCTCACCAGCTTTGTGAAGAGCTGCAGGAGAGCTGCATGGCCCAGGACAGCTCCACTCATGGCACCATCCATGAGCCACAAGCATGGGAAGGGGCCTGCGGGTGAGGAGAGGGCAGGAGGAGGGATGCAAGTCTGGAGAGGAGGAGCGGAAAATGCTGCGTGCTAATCGGGGCAGGATTAGCATGTCTTGATAAGCTAAACTGGGTCTGCAAGGCTCTGAATCCAGGGAAAGCCATAGCATATGGGTTTGCACTGCAGGGTTGCCTTGTATCTGCTTCCAAGCAGGGCTGCTCACTCACAGCCCCTGCTCATTCCAGTGGAGCTGCAGCCTGGACTCCTGCTGTGCTCTGGCCATCATCACCTTGGCTCTGCACTGCAACCCACAGCTTCCCTGGCACTGCCCAGGCTTTCTCAGCCTGGAGCCCACTGAGGAGTGGGTTTGGCTGTCCATGGTGCCCGGGATGCATGTGCAGGAGCAGGGTGCAGGGAGCATCCCGAGGGAACAAGCCCAGGGCTGGAGATGGTTGTGCCTGGAGGTCTCTGCCTCACCGGATCTCTTGCTCTTCTTTGTCTCCCCCCTCCCCAGCTGCAGATGGGACATTCTCTTTTAAATACAGTCCTGGAAAGCTGCGGGGAAACCAGTACAAGTCAATGATGACCAAAGAAGAGCTCGAGGAAGAGCAAAGGTACGTTGAGTTTCCTGTTTCTTCTCGCTCAAGGCACCCCCTTGAAGCAGGCTGGGTCTGGTCAGACCTCTCTCCCCTTGGCAGCCTTGGGCTCAAGGCCTCACTGGTCCAGACCTCTGCCACCCAGGAAGATGTGAGAGCAAATAAAGTCCTGCTGATTGAGGAGATGGGGGCACTGTGGCCCTATACCCCTTTGGAGCTGCTCAAGCTCCCTCTCTGCAAGCTTAGTCCAAGTGTTCCAGCTCATGCAAGAGGGTGTCGTTCCCCTGATCCCATCAGCACCGTGTTGGTTTACATCTGTTGACCTGATCTCTAATTACTTCCCTCCCTTTATCCTGTGGATGCCCTCCAGAGCGAGGACATGGGCATAGCTCAGAAATATGGGAGCAGAGAGTGTGGAGCTTTAGAGTTCACTGTGATGGGGCTGATATTGGAAGTGTCTGCATCCAGGGCTGGCTTCTCAGCTGGAAGTGCTGGGGATTTGCCAGGTACTGGGCCTGGTAGTGATGGAGACTTGCTCATCTCCTCCTTTTTGCTAAGGTTTCCTCCTGAGCCCTGCATGAAGAAAGCAAGAGCCTGTCCTGTTATCAAAACCAAGCTTTCTAGCTCAAGATTTCCCAACCTATTCAAGGGAAATCAGCACCAATCTTGCATCTCAAGCTCTAAACCCCTACCTGAAGCCAGTCTGTGCTGCTAGTGTGAAGTCTGCCCGTGTGCAGAGGGAATCCTTCAGCCCACGGGCATGCAGAGCCCACACTAAACCAGAGCTGTCAAACCCCATAGCCAAGGGCTTTGCCCTACAAGTAGGCTCCATGGCAGGCTGCTCCGTAGCAGATGTGTGCAGCCCATGCCCCGTACCCCTTCCTCTGCAGTGGTGCTCAACAAGCCTGGGAGATGATGTTCTCTCTGGGACTGTAGGACCCAATTCTCCCCCCGTGTTGTGCACCTCCTAGAATGATTTGGGGGAATTTGTCACCCCTTGCCTGTGATGCTGTGGTGTCAGTACCACTGCAGCTGGTGTGCTGAGCTTAAACACAACAGCCTGACATGGACCAAGTGGAAAACTGAAGCAGGGAAGGCAAGGATGGAGGGCACCTCGGCCCTAGGTCAGGTTTGAGGTGTCTTCCCTTTCTGCCCCCCCAGCTCTCCTTAAATCTTGGGGTTCACCTGCCCTGTAGCACTGCCAGGAGCAAAGATGTGCAAGGACCCTGTGCTCTGGGGACAGCCACAGAAAGGAGCTCCAGCTTCCTCTGGTGTGGGGTCAATTCTGCATTGGTGCCATCAGGAAGACTGGTGTTTGCTTTCTTCCTTTTGTTCTATCTTCATCATGTCTGAAGCCCTGAACCTGTAACACTCTAAGCAGGTCTGTTGGTGTTGCTGTATTTTTCACCTGGGGAGGGTGATGGTGGAATGAACTGAGTGAATGTGAGAGGAACACATGGAGCCCACTTGGAATTGCTTTTCAGGATCCTTCTAAGCACCACCACAAAGATCAACCTGCAGCAGCAGGCAAATTCAAACCCTTTGCACCGTGCCAACCACCTCAGCAACCACTGCTCGGGTTTTCAGGGCTGTAGGGCCTTGGGCTGGTTGCTCTGTGGCAGCAAATGCTCCTGCAGTCACCTGGGGACACTGAGGGGACATTTGCCTGCAGACAGCAGTGGGGTTTGTATTCAGGACCGTAGAACAGGCTCTTCCTGGGCATGTGGGGCCTTGCAGGCACTGCTGCTCATGTGTGTGTGGAGTGGTTCCAGGGCAGGACAGTGCACCTAGAACTGATGGACAGTGTGGTGTCCTCCAGAGGCTCTCAGCAGGACCTCACATAGGACCGTTGGCAGATAGGTTTTCCTACTGCTCCTTTCTTTTCTCCTCTTGCGTATTTGTGTTGTTCATTTCTTCAAGGCAGCTTTGTGATTTTATGTCTTGCTCTGTTGCTGGCTTATTTCCCCCCTTACATCTTCACTGCAGCATCAGCAGCTTTTCATTCCAGGCCTGGCAGGTGGTGTAAGGGGCAGGGCTGCTGCCAGGTAAGCTCCAGTCCTGCATCCTTCCCCATCCTCAGTGCCATCCCTCTCCGTGACTCCACATACCCCGACCATGCTGCTGCTGTGCTGTGACCCAGGTTTGCCACCTTTATGTTGCAGGATTGAGCTGACCTCTGATCTCACATCTCTGTAGCAAGTACCTTAGGTCCTCGGCCACAAACATTCTTGCAAATCTTTTTGGTAAGGACACGCTGCTGCTTAGAAGTAGTGGTACCACTGGTAACATCTGCTCATGTCTGGGGGGGTGCCTTCGGGTCTCATTTCCTGGGGAGGGTTTGTTTGTGAGCTGCAGTTGACTGCTTGTCCCACCTCCCTTCCATCCTCCTCCTCCTCCTTCCCTCATGTGAATGAGTCCTCTCCCCTCTGCCTCCACCTTGCTTTCCATGGGGGAATTGGGAATTCTCACATTCCAATGCTCACCTCTTCCAACTTGGATGCCTGAAGCTGGACATCCCACGACCACTTCTGTTTACTGGTTTGGAATATTAGGGCTGCTGAGGGAGTGGGTAGTTATTCCTAAGGTGAATTGCCAAAGATGCAACAGGCTTAGACTTTGCTTTTAGCCTTGTCACAGTCTTCCCATGGACCAACAGGTTCCCGTGTGAAGCAGCTTGTAAGGAACACCCCAGAAACACAAGTGGGTCCCCCAGAGCTCCTTGAAGCTACTTGTGGTGTTGGTCAGGTTGGATGGGGCTTGGAGCAAGCTGCTCTAGTGGAAGGTGTCCCTGCCCATGGCAGGGGTTGGAACTGGATGAGCTTTAAGGTCCCTTCCAACACAAACCAGGCTGGGATTCTATGGTCAGTAGTTAAAAAGTCTTAACTTAGGGACCCCTAATTTTGGAGGTGCCACTGACAGAATTCCTTGCCTGTTGCAGGAAGATCAATGAGACTTCTCTAAGATTTCAGACAGGAGAGGACAGGCATGCAGTAGATCGGGTCATTTAGCCAAAAATCCACTTCTGCTGCAACACGCATCACCCCAGAAGCTGTGGTCGTCCTGCCTAGCATTCACTTGAGCCTTGTGGCTTCAAAGTGGTGCTAAATCTGGACTAAAAGGGGAAGGAATGTGACCTTTACTGAGTGATACAACTTCCTGCTTCTGGTTGCTTCAGTCTTAAAACCCAGGAGTGCTGGGCAGTATATCTGGTTGGCAAATACATGTGCTCAGGTGGTGGCTCTGCTCGACGTGGGTCACCAGGACTTCTAGAACAGAAGCACATAGATTTGCTCCCCTGGGGCAGGAAGGGGAAGAGTGCAGGGGAAGGAGGCAGTGCTTAGTCAAGCACAGTGTATTTCCCAAATCCTTCCCTTCTGCACCTGAAGCTTTTGGCCACCTATTGCCAGCTGTAGCTGCAATGGTGCAGCTTGTCCCCGCTCGGACAGGGCTGAGTTGTGCAGGCATGAGCCTGTGAGGTGCTGCTGACCTGGCTGGGCACCTCCTGCAGGGGAGGAAGAGAAGGGCTCTCCAGTGGCCTGGCTCACATGGATGTATGGAAGTGGTCTCTGGCAGCTGCTCTTCAATCCTCCCCTGAGGATGAAAGCTCCGTGGGGTTTGTGCAGTCAGAAAGGAGTGTGATCAGATGGGTGTCGAGCATGGGCAGCTGCAGCGAGGCTCTGCTCATAGGGAAAGAGAAAACAACCGGGAGAAACGATGCCCTTGGGTTTCTGCTTCCAGTTCTTCCTCCCCATGAGGCAGAGCAGGTTCCAGCCAAGTCTTGCTTGGTGCCAGTGATGCCGAGAGCTTGGGCTGCCTGTGCTCTGGCCCTGCTGCTCTTCACTAGGTGTGTTGGCTGGAGAAGGGAGAGCAGATCCCATGTGATGCTCTGTGGAAAGGTCTCTCCTCTCTGTCCTCTCTCTTGGTTCTGGGATTTAAGAAGAGGTTAAGGGTGGAGAGGCAGAACCTGCCCCTGGGGCCTCTGGGTCTGATTGAATGGCACCAAACTGCTCATGAATGGAGCAGGCGATCCCCCAGACCACAGCCCAGTCCTGTTGGAATAAGGAGAAGGTAGGGATGGATGGATGGATACATGGATGATTAGATGGATGATTGGATGGATGATGATTAAATGGATGATTAGATGGAAGATTAGATGCATGATTAGATGGATGGATGGATGGACGGACAAGTGGGATGGGTGGCTGGCTGGCTGGCTAGCTGGATGATGGATGGATGGATGGATGGATGGATGGATGGATGGATGGGCGTCTGCCCAGTTTCCCTGGCTAATGGGCTCTCAGGTGAGCCATTGAGCCATTCTAGGGGCAAATTCTCCTCCTGGCTCTCAGTCCTCTCATCTCCTGGCCAGCCATGGGTTGAGAAGACATTGCTTGAATCCAGACTAGTTTTAAGCCCAGGGCTCAACTGTAAGCTGGAGTTCATGCAGAGGGAATTGGATGGCTGTAAATCTCATGCTCGGTCCTTTTCTTGGTGGTAATTTAAGAACAGAAACCTCTCTCCTCCCCAGCTGGGCTCAAAGCACTTCTTGGTTACAAGGCACTGAACGAAAATGGGCTTGGACCCTGCAGTTTCAGCAAGGAAGGGTGCCCTGGATGGACCCTGGCTCTAGGGAACGGCAGAGAGGAAAGATTAACGTGGGGATGCAGCTGTGGCTTGAGGGACAACGGTGCTGCAGTTTGCTTTTGAATGAGACAATGCTTGTGGTGACAGCTTTGGAGCACACAAGGGCAGGAAGCACCTGCAGGGCTTTAGTGACTGTGGTGACAGACCTTGACCTGTTCCAAACATCACTACTGGCCCTCCAGTACTAAGTGGATGGAGTGGGCTGGGGGAGGTTGCAATTCAAGAGAGCTCTCCATTGGCATCTGTCCCTGTCCACCCCCTCCATTGCCATCATAGCCCTTGCTTGCTTGCTTGCTCCCTCCTCTGTATAGCATGGGTTGTGGGCCCCTTTCTCCTCCCTTCTCTTGTGCTAACCTTCAGCCCCAGCCCAGCAG